GGGGGAGGGGGGGGTTGGCAGCCGTGTGGCGGGGATGGTTGGCAGCCCCGTGTGGCGGGGATGGTTGGCAGCCCCGTGTGGCGGGGATGGTTGGCAGCCCCGTGTGGCGGGGATGGTTGGCAGCCCCGTGTGGCGGGGATGGTTGGCAGCCCCGTGTGGCGGGGATGGTTGGCAGCCCCGTGTGGCGGGGATGGTTGGCAGCCCCGTGTGGCGGGGATGGTTGGCAGCCCCGTGTGGCAGGGATGGTTTGCAGCCCCGTGTGGCGGGGATGGTTGGCAGCCCCGTGTGGCGGGGATAGTTGGCAGCCCCGTGTGGCCGGGGGGGTGGTCGGCAGCCCAGTGTGGCGGGGTGGGGGGGTCGGCAGCCCAGTGTGGCGGGGTGGGGGGTCGGCAGCCCAGTGTGGCGGGGTGGGGGGTGCGCAGCCCAGTGTGGCGGGGTGGGGGGTCGGCAGCCCAGTGTGGCGGGGTGGGGGGTCGGCAGCCCAGTGTGGCGGGGTGGGGGGTCGGCAGCCCAGTGTGGAGGGGGGGTCGGCAGCCCAGTGTGGAGGGGGGGGTCGGCAGCCCAGTGTGGCGGGGGGGGTCGGCAGCCCCGTGTGGGGGGGTTGGCAGCCCCGTGTGGGGGGAGGGTTGCAGCCCTGTGTGGCCAGGGAGGGTGACTGGCAGCCGTGTGAAGGATGGGGCTGGCAAGTGTGGAGGCTAGTGCTGGGTGGTTGGCAGGAGTGTGCAGGCTGGGATTGGGTAGTTGGCAGGAGTGTGGAGGCTAGTGGAGGGTGGTTGGCAAGTGTGGAGGCTAGTGCTGGGTGGCTGGCAGGAGTGTAGAGGCTAGTGGAGCGTGGTTGGCAAGAGTGGAGGTAGTGCAGGATGGTTGGCAGGAGTGTGGAGGCTGGGGTTGGGTGGTTGGCAGGAGTGTGGAGGCTGGTACTTGGTGGTTGGCAGGAGTGTGGAGGCTGGGGCTGGGTGGTTGCAAGGAGTGTGGAGGGTGGTTGGCAAGTGTGGAGGCTAGTGCTGGGTGGTTGGCAGGAGTGTAGAGGCTAGTGAAGGGTGGTTGGCAGGAGTGTGGAGGCTGGGTGTTTGGCAGGAGTGTGGAGGCTGGGTGGTTGGCAGGAGTGTGGAGGCTGGGGCTGGTTGTTGGAAGGTGTGGAGGCTAGTACTGTGTTGGAAGGTGTGTGGAGGCTAGTGCTGGGTGGTTGGCAGTAATGTGAAGGCTGGGACTGGGTGGTTGGCAGTGTGGAGACTAGTGCAGGGTGGTTGGCAAGAGTGTGGAGGTTAGTGCTGGGTGGTTGGCAAGAGTGTGGAGGTTAGTAGTGGGTGGTCAGCAAGTGTGGAGGCTAGTGGAGGGTGGTTGGCAAGAGTGTGGAGGGTGGTTGGCAAGAGTGTGGAGGTTAGTGCTGGGTGGTTGGCAAGAGTGTGGAGGTTAGTAGTGGGTGGTCGGCAAGTGTGGAGGCTAGTGGAGGGTGGTTGGCAAGAGTGTGGAGGGTAGTTGGCAAGTGTGGAGGCTAGTGGAGGGTGGTTGGCAAGAGTGTGGAGGGTGGTTGGCAAGAGTGTGGAGGGTAGTTGGCAAGTGTGGAGGCTAGTGGAGGGTGGTTGGCAAGAGTGTGGAGGCTGGTGCTGGGTGGTTGGCAGGGATGTAGACATGTTGGCAGGCATGCAGATCATGTACACTGGCAGGAATACGGAAAGCGGGTGTTGGCAGGTATGTGTTGGGTGGTTAGATGGTGTTGGCAGGTATGTGTAAGGTGGTTGGATGGTAGATGGTGTTGGCCGGTATGTGTAATGTGGTTGGATGGTAGGTGGTGTTGGCAGTTGTGTAAGGTGGCTGGATTTTAAATGGTGTTGGCAGGCATGTGTAGGGTGGTAGGTGGTGTTGACAGGCGTGTGAGAGGTGGTGGTGGAAAGGAGTTGGCAGGTGTAGAGGGTGGGAGGGTTGGCAGGCGTGTGTGTGGCCTCGCTGCTGACAAAGAGGCTCTTCCATTACCCTCCCTCTCGAGAGAAAAATAGATGCGGCTCTTCCATCCTCCCTTCCGCCGCCCTGGATAAAGCTGCGGCTCTTCGGCCTTCCCTCCCACCGCCCCCTAAATAGCATCACTGAGGCTGTTCACTCGGGCCGGCATCCTCCCCGCTTCATTATTATTACGCGTGTTATATTCACGCAGCTCAATAACAGTCAATAATGTGATGGTAACTTGTAACTACACCAAGTCTCTGTTCTCCGTGTAGGTAAACAGAGTCAGACACAAGTCAATAACGTCAAAATTAAGGGATAATCTTGTTTATAATCCCCGGATGTGCAACATAAACAGAAGAACGTCAAAGACTAGACGCCATGTTAGTTGCCCGGGATCAACCCATCTAAATGTCAAATTCTTCTATGACAGATGATCGCACCATTATGGCAATGGTAACTGATAACACAATACAAATTTCCTTATAACATAGCATAGTCGAGGAATTATCTTCCCTAGAGAGATTTAAATAAAAGCTGCGTTAACACCACTTCAACGTCAGTCCATAGGGGGCGGCCATCTTGAAAACTTTCAAAACAAACAATCTTCCATTCACAGTTGTTCTTGTGAGCAGTGTCTAGGTAACCTAGGAAGATCGTCTACGTGAAGAAGAGCATCGCCCAAGACGCTCTACTCATCTAACTACACCAAGATGCGCGCTGTATCTACATACTGCTAGAACTAAGGCACCAGAGAAGCAAGGAGTAATGATCACTTACCAGTGTTGTATACATGCAATTCGTCCACTATCCCTTCATTCCCACCCCCAAACACGACCATTAGATCCTTGATAGCGACAGCGCGGTGCCCATGCCGTGGTCTGGGCTGTGGGCCCGTGGTATTAGTGACCCGCTTCCACTTAAGAATGGGCGCAGCCATACTTGACTTGACGCATCTTCGAAATGTTTTCTGCTAGCAGTACACAGCGCCAGTGTGAACCTCGCCTGACACCCGCCATGCGCAACCATACTCTCTCTCATTATTATTATACTTTATCCTACTTTACCAGCATATGAAGCATTCACATGATATACTACAAAATACTTAATAAATATAGGTGACAGATAAGAGTAAAACACTCCGTATAATTCACTATGAAGCACAGTAAACAAAGTCGTATGTATTTTTTGTCTAGTTTTATGGTTCATATTATGCGTTGTATTTAATATGTTAAACTGTTTAATATAAAATGTCAATAGTACTGTTATAATTATAATATTTAATTATACATAAGCGAGCTGTTCTTGGGAAGCTATTAGCGCTGTATAGTCCTTGTGGCTTAGCGCTTCTTTTTTTGATTATAATAATAATAATAATTGGGAAGCTATCAAGTTTCATATTCATAATTACCAGCTTCAGACATATCATCTGTATATTAATAACAAGTGAAAATCCATTCATTGTTGAAGCTATATCATAATTGATAAATTGTAAGCCTGTTACACCGTCTGATAAATTATTTTTTTTTTGCTCCTTATCACCGTCAACATGACTTGTAAAGCCAGTAGTATCACTTAAGAGGTGTAGCAGTATTAACTCTCTCAGTACGTATTACCAATATTTTATTACCTTGAAACTGTTACGTACTTCAAAGTTATCGAATAAAACTATATATATATATATATATATATATATATATATATATATATATATATATATATATTATATATATATTATATATATATATATATATATATATATATAATGTGCCGAATAGGTAAAACTGGACACTTAGCAAGAGCTCATTTAAAATTAAGGCCCTTCAAAAATTTTCTCTTATACGTTTAGTTATAATTTTTTTCCATTTATGTTAATATAAAAATTAATAATTTTGTGCCAAAAGAACCTTAGAAAACTTACCTAACCTTATTATAACAATCGTAATTTAATTTAGCCTGAACCATCTAAATATATTTTAGATAAATTGACAATAATTTAATAATAAACAAACAATGAAATATATTTTTTTTCGTTAGGTTCAGAAAGCTTTTTGCGAAATTATTGTATACACAAATTTTCGCTTGCCTTATTCGGCAAGAAGAGCGTGGTATGGTTTGTTTGCAATCGTGTCATTACGATTTCGTGAGTCAAGTTTTACCTGTTCGGCACGACACACACACACTCACGGTTCAGTGAGAGTGACCTAGTAGCGACCAGTGAAGAGGCGGGGCCAGGAGCTAGGACTCGACCCCTGCAGCCTCAACTAGGTGAGTACACACACACATATATATAATAAATATATATATATATATATAATATATATATATATATATATATATATATATATAATATATATATATAATATATATATATATATATATATATATATATACACTTCATACATACACCTACATACATACATACATACACCTTCATACATACTTACAATTTGAGGTTTAGATAAGAGTGGTGGAGGAAAAATGAAAGAATTCACAACATAATACGTTATATAAGCGAGGAAACACTCCTAGGCCCGGTGGCCTGGTGGCTAAAGCTCCCACCTCACACACGGAGGGCCCGGGTTCGATTCCCGGCGGGTGGAAACATTCGACACGTTTCCTTACACCTGTTGTCCTGTTCACCTAGCAGCAAATAGGTACCTGGGTGTTAGTCGACTGGTGTGGGTCGCATCCTGGGGGACAAGATTAAGGACCCCAATGGAAATAAGTTAGACAGTCCTCGATGACGCACTGACTTTCTTGGGTTATCCTGGGTGGCTAACCCTCCGGGGTTAAAAATCCGAACGAAATCTTATCTTATCTTATACTTCAAGACGGATTTGTTAGTGCAGGCTGAGTGACCATAGAAAACGAAAGCAGTAGTTATAGAAAATAGTTTGTTAATGGGGGAACTTACATATTAATAATAATTCATTTCAATCTGTTATACATAAATATTGTACAATGACCTGAACGCCATAGTATACACACCATTGAGTTTAAATCTCTCTCGTCCATCTTTATTTTATTCTAAAAAATGCTAAAGCTGTATGAGTCATTAATTCCACCATAAGGCATTTACATATACATCTAGGGAATATTGCAATGCAATTGTACCTAATTATGGAAAATTGTGAGCTGTATAGCCCTTGTGGCTTAGCGCTTCTTTTTGATTATAATAATAATATGGAAAATTGCATTTATCTGAATGTATCATTATATACATAACAGTAAATGAACATAGATAATTATTATTTATCAGTTAGAGAAGTAGGAATTTGGGACACCTAGGTCGCAAAAAATGTCCCCATTCGATACCTACAACTGTCATATCCACAAGTTGCTCTGGACCTATTAATTAAATGAAATATACATCACCAGGAATGCTGGTAAATATATAAATTTGTGGACTGCTTATTAAAATTAAAAAAGGATTATAGTATATACACACATTTATATAACAGAAGGAGAATATATCTTAATCATAACACTCGTCAATTTGACTGGAGATTAAGTTGTATCATACTCAGAAAACCTCACTGTCTATACATGAAAATAACTGGCCAGAGTTATAACATAACAGACTTATCTGAGGTTCCTGGAGCTGTCTTGTCCAGTCGCCTGATATCTCAAGTTATGCAGGAATGCACATCCAACAATTTCGCCTCCTATTTGAGAGGTGTCAGCCCAATTTTAACCTCTAGAGCACGAAAAATTCTTCCCATTACACTAACGTTTACTTGGCTCATTCAAACCAAAATGGCGACTCCCTCTTCTTTTTTTCGATAACATACTTCTTTTAAAAATACAATATAGGGCATCTATTTACCTATAAATTACCGTATTTCCAGAAAATATATACAGTATTTTCCACACTGCGGCCGGCTGGAGTTCGTTGCTAAACGACTCAAATTACTCCTTCCTTTAGGAGACGATTCCAGCCGGTTCTGGCTTGAGTGGCTGTTCTCCTAGCAGGTCTTACTACGATTTAATTTTCTGGCATCACTTGGTCAGCGTTATCTTCCAGATCACTCGTGTCACTTTCCCTCAGATTTTCATTTACGTTTGATTGAAAACCTAATTCCAAGGGAATCAATTTATTAATTGTGTGTAAACTTTCCTGGCCACGACACAACACTTTGACATTCCTGACAACACATTGTGCATCTGGGTACAATGTCAATACTTTGCCCAAAGACCACAATGTTCGATGTTGTACAGTATCAATCAACACAATGTCACCTGGTTGAATGTTCTGTCGATTTACTGCCTCTGCATTTACAAATTTAGCATAAGATAAACCTTGAGACAAGAAATCAGCTGGATTCTTCTCACCAGGTATATGATTAAATGTTAACATATGCTGACCCAAACTATTATACTTCTCTTGCATCTGATTAATTTCAGCGACTCTGTTTTGTACGTACACAATTTTACTGTTTCCATTACGAATCCATTGTAAGGATACCTCATTATCAGACCAAATTACAGTGTCACTAATATTTATCTCCTGCAACTTATTTCTTATATAATTAGCTAATTTGACACCTACATAAATGGCTGTTAATTCCAACTGAGGCAAGGTATGTGATTTAATTGGAGACACTTTAGCCTTAGACATAACAAGATAAATAACACTATTACATTGAAGGTAAGCAACTGCTCCATATGCCAATTTTGAAGCATCACAAAAAATGTGGAGTGCGTTTTTCCCATTTGGATTGGCCACCTGGCGTGGGAACTCCAACATTGGAATTTTTTCATAATCACCAATTAATTCATCCCACCTGTTAATGAATTCCTCAGGTAGTATTTCATCCCAAGCACATTTAAGTTTCCATGCTTCCTGTATTAATAATTTTTAAGTTTCCATGCTTCCTGTATTAATAATTTCCCTCTTATAGTAAGGGGTGACACTAAACCTAGTGGATCAAAACATTTGGAAACTTCAGCAAGCAAAACTCTCTTAGTTAATTTATTGGGCATACTGTAATTATTAGGTTTTAACATTAACAAATCTCTCTCAGTATCCCAAGTTAAACCCAATACATTACTACATTTTGGCACTTCATCTCCAGAGAAATCTTTACTTATTTTGTCCTTTAATTTGGACAAATTACTATTCCATTCCCTCAGAGGCATATTTGCACTTTGCATTATTTTATTAGCCTCTCCATAAGTCATTAACAGTTCCTCTTCAGTTGACGTCACACCCAGGAAATTGTCCACATAAAATTGTTTGCTCATTACTTTACTCAATGGAATTTACATATGTTTAAGGTGTGCATTTATCGTCGCTTGAAGTAGGAACGGACTGGATGTAGCACCAAATAATACGCTCTTAATGCGAAAGGTTTTCAGAGGGCTAAGTGGGTCACTAGGATTCTCAGGCCATAAGAAGCGGGTACAATCCCAGTCAGCCTCTTGTAAACCCACTCTTAGGAAAGCTTTACTTATGTCAGCCGTAAAGGCATAATGCTTAACTCTGAAATTTAATAAGATATCTCCTAATTTTTCCGTCAACGACGGACCTGTCATCAAACAGTCATTTAAGCTAGGTACATTTTTGTTACTCCTGGCACTACAATTAAACACAATTCTCAAAGGAGTGGTCTTAGAATCCTTCTTCACTCCGTGATGGGGCAAATAGTGACCATAAATTTTGGCTTGCTCAGGAGGTACCTCTTCTATAAATTTATTAATTAACTGCTCAGCAATTATATTATAGGCAGTTAACAATTTTGGTGTCTTACTCAGTTCGCAGAGCTGAGCTTTTAATTGTCCATATGCCATTCTGTAATTAGTGGGCAATTCTGGATGGTTCAGTCTCCACGGAAGTCGTACCCAGTATTGTCCAGATTCAAATTTTACATCTCTCAGGTATTGATCCTGAGTAAAAGAATCATCTGGACTTTCTTCATTTACATTTATTCCAATGCTGTCTAATTCTCACAATTTATGCACTGGCTCAACACCATCCTCTATGGAAGAATTATACTGGGGCACAATTTCATGAGTAAGACACACAGTTATGGTATTTGTAGTTTCCTCTAGTCATGAATTATTATTACGAGGAATCCTACCATACATTACATGGCCTCCTGCAGTCTTCAAAAGGGTGACACCACATTTCTTTACCATACCCTTTACAAAGGA